GAACCTCTAGATCAATTTCCATAGTAACTAAAGTCATTAACAATCACACCACTGGATAAGGGTTCTGTTCAACATCTTTCCTATCTTTTACTGTGTTTGCTTTATTGATGGCAGACATTCTAACAAGGTGGGATGGAATCTGAGTGTGGTTTTGATATGCTTTTCTCTGATAGCTGAGGGTGTTAGTATTCCCCCCTCCAATTTTTTTTTTTTTAAACAGACTTAATTCACTTTATTTTGCTTGTATAGAAATCCTTATGTGGTAGCCACAGCTGGAGCCTGGGTCTTCTGAACAGACTCTGGTGTGGGTTTTCACAAGATGGTCAACGAATTCCTGATAAGGACACTTGGTGAACAGAGTCTCTTTCCAGAGATTGTGGGTCATGTAGCTGTAGGTCTTGGAGATGGCATCAAAGGTGGCCTTGGCAAAGTTGCCCAGGGTGCCAGTGCAGCCCCTGGCTGACGTGTAGCGGTCATCAATACCAGCCATCATCAGTAGCTTCTTAGGCACAGGAGCAGAGATGATGCCAGTCCCTCTGGGGGCAGGGATGAGACGCACCAACACAGAGCCACAGCAGCCTGTCACCTTGCACAGAACAGTGTGCGGCTTGCCAATCTTGTTCCCCCAGTAGCCTCTCCACACCATGAAAGCTTGGCAAAGATGATGGCCCCTCAGGTGACAGTGGATACCTCAGCGGTAGAGCACTTAACACCAAGACCAACATGACCATCATAGTCCCCAATAGCTACAAAAGCCTTGAACCTGGTCTGCTAGCCAGTGGGTTGGCTTCTGTAGTGGCATGATCTTTAGAACCTCATCCTTGAGGGAAGCACCCAGGAAAAAGTCAATAATCTCGGATTCCTTAATGGGCAGGGAGAACATGTAGATCTCTAACTTGACCGTCACGTCTTTAACCAGGCGGCACAGCTTGGTGACCGGGATTCACTCTTCACCTTCAGCTTTACCTGCCGTGACCATAGGCCCCTAAGACCGCTGCCAAATTCGAAGGGAAACCTCCTAATCCTGGGTCTCTGGGAGAGATCCCAGCACCGGCATCATCTGACATTTGATGTTTTCCTGAAGAAGAAGGAGCATTTCCATTAAAAAAAAAAAAAAAAAATTCCAAGCCGGGCGGTGGTGGCGCACGCCTTTAATCCCAGCACTTGGGAGGCAGAGACAGGTGGATATCTATGAGTTCGAGGCCAGCCTGGTCTACAAAGTGAGAGACAGGACAGCCAGGACTGTTAAACAGAGACACCCTGTCTCGAAAATACAAAACAAACAAACAAATTCCAGTTTATTTATTTATTTTTTTAGTAATTGTTTGCTTTACTCGCCCCCCCCAGTTCCTTGTAGATTCTAGGTACCCCCCCCATTGTATATATGTGGCAATGACTTCCCGTCGTTCTTTAGGCTATCTGATCACAGCAAATTGTTTCCTTTGTTTACTGTGCTGCTTTCAACTTATGCCATCCCGTTTGTCCATTCCCGAAATCTAGAGCTCCGTCTCCCCCATTACTTGGTGATTTCACTTAGACCACCTTCATTTGTGTATATAAATTTAGGAAGCTTTTACTATTTTAGGTTTCCACAGGGCCCTTCAAATTGCCCTTCATTGTAGCTGTCCCTGTATCCCTTCCCTCACCCTCCTCTTTCCTTCCCCTCTCCATTAGATCCTCCTGTTCCAGCCCATCCGTCTGCCCAGCCCACCCCCACCCATCCATGACTACCTATTTTATTTCCCCTTTCAAGAGAGATCTGCCCCTTACCCCCTTACACTATACCTAGCCTCTGTGGTTCTTTGAGTTCAGCAACTTGTCTTTTTGTGTTGTTTTTGTATTCAGCTACCTTGCTGAAAACGTTTGTCAGACCTAAGAGTTTTCTGGTGGGGTCTTTAGGGTTTTTAATAGGATCATGTCATATGTGAATAGGGCTAACCTGATGTATTAGTCAGGGTTCTTTAGAGAAACAACTGATAGAATGAATTTATGAATATAAAAATGAGATTTATTAGAGTGGCTTAAAGGCTGTGGTCCTACTATTCCAACAACGGCTGTCTCCTGACAGAAAGTCCAAGAATCCAATAGTAGGCTGAGATGTCTCGATAGTCTTCAATATATGCTAGAATCATGAAGAAGTTGTCTAATAGCAACAAAACACTTGGCCTGACTGCTGGTAACAAAACTCAGATCCTCTGGAAGAGCAGGAAGCAGGCAATGCACTCTTGAATGAATATAGAATAACAGGATAAATGTAAAAGAAGACACAAAAACACTTCATTCGGGAGGCAACATGAAACTAAGTGAATCACACACAAACAATGGGATAAAATAAGAAGAGAGAATAGGGCAAATCGCAGCATAAACTGTCTAAAATGTACTTCTAAATAACAATAATAAAAATTTAGAAATAACTGGGGCTGGAGAGATGGCTCAGCAGTTAAGAGCACTGGCTGTTCTTCCAGAGGACCCGGGTTCAATTCCCAGCACCCACATGGCAGCTCATAACTGCCTGTAACTCCAGTTTCAGGGCATCTGACACTTTTACAGAGACATACATGCAGGCAAAACGTGAACACACATGAAATAAAAATAAATAAATTATAAAAAAGGGTTAAAAATTAGAAATGGCATGGAAATAAATATATGATAGGAAATATTAATATTAGAATTTTTATAACTTAAACTGTCAATTGACATAACATAGATAAGTACTCAAACTACAGGATAAGTTCTCTCTGAGTGTGGTGATTTGAATATGAATGCTTCCCCCATGGGGCCTGGAGAGATAGCTGAGCAGTTAAGAGCACTGGCTGCTCTTCCAGAGGACCCAGGTTCAATTCCCAGGACCCACATGGCAATTCATAACTGTCTGTAATCCAGCACCAAGTGATTTGACACCTCACACAGACATACACGCAGGCAAAACGCAAATGCACATAAAATAAAAAATCATTCTTTTAAGCGAAAAAAAGAGTGACTCCTATTTTGGTTAGGGTTTCTATTGCTGTGAAGACCCCATGACCACAGCAACTCTTACAAAGGAAAACATTTAATTGGTGCTGGCTTACAGTTCAGAGGTTTAGTCCATTATCATCATGGCGGGAAGCATGGCAGCATACAGGCAGACATGGTGCTGGAGAAGGAGCTGAGAATTCAACATCTTGATCCACAGGCAGTAGGAGGAGACTGTGAGCTAAGCCTGGCTTGAGATTCTGAGACCTCAAAACCCCAAATGACATACCTCCTTCAAGAAACTCCCACCTACTCCAACAAGGCCACACCTTCTAATAATGCCACTCCCTATGGGCCTGTGGGTCCATTTTTCATTCAAACTATCACAGCTCCCACAGGCTCATGTATTTGAATACTTAGTCACCAGGGAGTGGAGCTGTTTGAAAGGATTAGAAGGATCCGGAGGTGTGGCCTTGATGGAGGAAGTGTGTATCTGGGGGTGGGCGCTGAGGTTACGAAAGCCTATGGCAGGTCTAGGTTCTCTCTCTGCCTGTGGATCAGGATGCAGCTCTCAGGTACTTCTCTAGCACCACAGCCAGAGTCTTCATCAAATGCTGCTGGGAAAACAGGCTCCTCACTGCAGATCAACCACCATCTTAAACAGTAACTCAAGACCTGGGAAAGAGGACCTAGCAGGTAAAGGTACTTGCTGCCAAGCTTGGTGACCTAAGTTGAACCGGAACCAGCATGGTGGAAGGAGAGAACCTACTGCTGGGAAGTTGTCCTCTGACCTCCTTTTCTGAACCGTAGATGTGCTCCTCTACACAAGTAAATACATGTGAAAAAAACAAAACAAAACAAAAACTCAAAATGAGACAAAGATGTTAATGTAAGACCCCAAACTCTAACATGATTACAAGAAAACATATGGGCAATATTTAAAAGAGTATAATGCTATAGGTAATGATTTTTTTTTTCTGGATAGGACTCCAAATGCACAGGAAGCAAGAATTTAAAAATGGCAAATTTTTGCATATCAAAACTAAGTTTTTGCATATAAGAGACAAAAGTGAAGAGATAATTTACAGGGTGGGAGAGAATATTTGCCAGCTGTTTATAATAGAGATATAATATCTAGAATCTATAAAGAGCTAAAAAGAAAAAAAAGCAAGAAAAACAAGTAATTTCTTTGAAGACTGGGCAAATGAGCTAAATAGATGCATCTCAAGAGAAGAAATAAAATCTGTACAAACAAACAAACAAAAAAAGCTCCATAGTTTTCCTTCAGGAAATACTTATTTCTTCAGTATCCTCGTTTATGGATGGCAGTCAATGCCTTTCTTTTAGGTCTATGAGGATTCCTCTAGGGAGAATTAGGTTTTGTTTTGTTTTGAACTTGTTATTTTATTATATGTATGTGCACCACCTGCGTGCCTGGTGCCCACGGAAGCCAGAAGAGAGTGTCAGTTCCCCTGGAACTGGATTCACCCAAGGTTATGCATCTCCTGCAGGTGATGGGGAATCGAAATAGGGTCCTCTACAAAAGCATCAAGTGCTCTTGACAGCCCAATCCAGTAGGTGTAGCTAGTGTTGGTTCTTTCCTTGCAAAGCTCCACATGATTCCCGGGAACTCAAAAGACTAGCACGTGAGGAGGCGATGGATGGAGAAGGGACCACTGCGCTGATGAGAGGGCGGGAGCCTGGCGGGGAGAAGGACTCTTGAGAGGGAGGGCCGGACAAACGAGGCGGACGCACAGAAGGACAGTCTCCCAGGACTGGGGCGCGAAGCGGGGTGGGCCACGGGGGCGGGGCCTGGGGGAGGCTTGGGGTGCCCGCCCACTGGGCGGCACGGAGCATGCGCGCTGAGGCGCTCCCGCCGCCCCCGCGTCTCTAGGACACGGCTCCGGGCGCGGCCTCCCCGTCTCCGCGCAGGATCCTCGCAGGCTCCCCGCAGGCTCCGCGGACCTCAGCGGGAGGTAACGGCCTTGGACTCCTCCCCAGGCGGTGCGTCCCCGCGGGTCCCGCCTGGCTCTCGGGACCCCCCGCTTTCCTCGCGGCCCGCCCGCCCGCCCTCTGGCTCCCGGTCTCCCCGGCCTCTCAGGCGCCGCCCTCCACGCCAGGGTCCCCCGCACCTCCACCGGGGACCTCTGGGCGACCCTTGGGCCACACTGTCACGAGGAAACTTGTGGGTTGACCCTGGCCGACGGCAGAGCAGCGAGGGATGGACGCGGTGTCCTAGCATCCTCCGTGGCAGAAACGCCCAGAACTTCAAGGATTTTCTTGAAATGGCACTCTCGGATTTGTTTGAAATAAAGGTACCTCTTTCCCGCGCCCCCCGTAGGCTTGACAGGTTACGCCTGCTGTGTGCTCTGCATGATGGATTTTTGCCCCCTCGGTTCTTGCTGTTGTGCGACGCCAGGTCGCTATCCCGTAGCATCAGTGTTTTGAGAGGCTTTGCAATATGCGTCAGAAATGGTGTGTGCTGCGTCCCACGAGGTGACTTTTAGAATTCTAAATGATGGAAGGTTATTTATGTAGGGCTCTCTCCTGAAATCTTGAAGTGGTTTGCTGTCTTTTTATCCTTGACGCTTTACTGCAAAACTATGTCCACATATTTCCAAACAAATCCTTGGCGTGAATACTTAAGTGTTTATCTTTCATATCTAGAAGTAAGGACTTATTAAACAAAACTATAATATAATTATCCCACAAAACCCAAACTAACAATTTGTTGTCTCTAGCATAGTCTATTAGAGTAGTCACCAATAGTTGCCTTTTAATGATTTTGCATTTACATAAGAGTTGCAAAAATAATGTAATTAAATATGTGCTTTTATTCAGATTATCGAGTTTATGTCTTGCCATACTTTATCTTTCTGTTTATACATGTGCATGCACATAGTATTTACGAGCTATTAACTACCTAGAAATAACTTTCTAAACGTTTTAAGGATGTTATATGTATTGTACATTTATATTTCACTCATCATAGTCAGTAAAGTGCATATCTCTAGTAATGCTTTTATATGTAAGCAAGTAGTCATCACATTTGGGAAACAGTACTGAATTGTGCTGTTTATAGCAATTTTTGTTTTCTGATGCAGGATAAAATACTGCATTTGGTTGACGTGTGCACTTAAATCGTCTTTAATTTGGAACACCTGACCTTTTGTTGCCTCCTGACACTGGTTAGCTAGTTTTATGTCAGTTTAACACAGACAAGAATCATTTGGGAAGAAAGAACCTTAATTTGGAAGAAATGCTGCCCCTTCCCCTCATTGGAACTGTGGCCAAGCCTGTGGGGCATTTTCTTGATGGATGCGAGAGGGCTCAGCTCACTGTGGGTAGATACCATCCTTGGGCTGGCGGTCTTGGGTGTGCAAGAAAGCAGGCTGAGCAAGCCATGAGGAACAAGCCGGTAAGCAAGCAGCACTCTTTTTTTCTTTTTTTTCCCCCCCCCGAGATAGGGTTTCTCTGTGTAGCTTTGCGCCTTTCCTGGAACTCGCTTTGGAGACCAGGCTGGCCTCGAACTCACATCACAGGGATCCTCCTGGCTCTGTCTCCCGAGTGCTGGGATTAAAGGCATGCGCCATCACCACCACCCGGCTGGTAAGCAGCACTCTTGAGTGGTCTCTTGCGTCAGCTCCTGCCTCCAGTTCCTGTCTCGGGTTTCTCCCCGACTTCCCTGGATGAGGGACTACAAGCTATGAGATGAAATAAACCCTTCCTTCCCGAAGTTGTTTTTGGTGTTTTACCGCAGCAATTAAAAACCTTAACTAGGAAATTGCTACCAGGTCATGTTCCACTGTGACAGACATGACCATGAGTCTTGGGGAAGGATTGTGGTGGCATTTGTATTTTGAGTGCTCAGAGCTCAGTGGACTGTTTTGCTGGGAGAAATGCAGGTGATGGAGGCCTGGCTTGTGAACACAGAGGGAAGCAAGCCTTACCGGGTCATTCAAGTGAGATTTTGAATTAAGAGCCGCTAAGGTGAAATTTTTGCTTTGCTGGGACAATTGATACTGGTCATCCGGGGCTGAAGGAGCAGCTGTGGTTAAGAAGAGACCAGCATCATTGAGGGCAAATCTTCTGGGAAGTGTTTCCTCAGGGTCAGCACACTGAAGTTGTGGTCCAGAGAAGGTCAAGGATGTCCCTTGTCCTGGCCGCCATACTTGCAAGTGTGTAAGAGTTTCCTAGTTGGCACTGATTTGAAGGCATGAAGGGATCATGGAGAGAAGCTGAGCTTATTGGTTAAGATATTATCCCCCCCCCACCGTAGTGCAGGAGGGTTAAAAATTCAAGATAATCTTGGTTTATAAGGAGTTTGAGGCTAACTTGGACAAGAGACCAAGTTGTCCAGGTTAGCCTGGGGGGCTCTGGGGCTGGGGACATGGCTCACTTGTCAAGTGCTTGCCTAGCATACACAGTCCAGGCCTCCATACCACAAAAACCAGGTACGGTCGTGCAGGCAGGCCTAAAATCCCAGGTGTCTGGAGGTGGAGGTGTCTGAGTTTGAACTCCGGACCCACTTAGAAAGCTGGGCATGGCTGAATGTGCCTGTACTCCCAGAGGCAGAAAGAGCTAGATTCCAGGAGCTCCGTGGCTAGCCACCCTAGCCAGAATGGCTAGTAGCAAACTGTCACTTTACTGAGAAATCCTATCTTGAAGTATAAGGCAAAAAACAATAGAGGAAGACATACAGTGCCTTCTCTGGCTTCTGCATGAGCGTACAAACGTGCTTGCAAAATGCAAAGCAAGCGTAACAGCGAACATTAAAACCAAAATCAGTAAATAAACATAACAAGAAAATTAATTTATCACAACCATTTAATGCTTGTTTTCTGGATTTTCCAATTGTTTAGGTTTTTCTAAAAATATAATATTATGATGAAGCCTATAATTACTTGGTGTATTTAGTTGCCTGGTCTGTTCATCCTTTAGCTGCTCACCTTTCATGATCTGGACTCCACTGAGGGTTACAGATTAGTTCTTTTGTAAATGTCCCTCATTTTGGGTTGATCTGATGCTTCTTTATGATAATGTTATACATTGTTCTCAGTTTATGCATCTTCAAAACAGATGTTACCATTGAGACACCGATGAGATCTTCTCATTTTAACCTATTAGGTAGCATGTGACTTCCATTTGTCACATTTCTGATAGTATTCATTTTGGTCACTGGATTAAATGGCTTCTGCCTGACACCATGTCAATCTCACCACTTTTTATCACATGCTCTATTCATAGTAAGGATTCAGTATCTTGCTTTGATTCATAGATTTTTAATACATTAGTATGATTTATTTTAATGTGCATAGTGATCTTAATTTGGTCAGTGAGATTCCCTTTCAGAGTGATCTCTGTGCCCTCTGCTTGGGTTCCAGTATACTCTCAGCTCGACTGTCCAGCTGAGTGATCATCCTCCCACCGTTTTTCCAACAACAGGCTATTCTGCCAAGATTATGCTTTCCCTCCACGCTGATTGGGTTCTGACTCTGCACCCACACCACGGCTCAGTGTGAGCATCCTCTTCTTCTTGCGCCATAATAGACGGTCCTTGGTCTCTGCCACAGGTGTCCCCACAACTAGTGTGGGGACTTGCCGCGCACCTCTTGTTTTGTGCTGTCTGGAGGCTGTTTATTCATTTGTGGTGCTGGACATTGAACTGGGAGCCCCTCACATGCCAAACAAGTCCTCTAGCTCTGAACTGTGTCCCGGCGCTCTTTTTACTTCTCATTTTGAGACAGGGTCTCAATCCCTTGCTCAGGCTGGCCTTGAATTCACTCTGTGGCACAGCGAAGCCTTGAACTTACAGTCTTCTGCCTCAGCCCCTGGAGTACCTGAACTTCATATATATGCCAACAGGCCTGGATAGGCTTTTCATTTTAGATGAGCTAGACAGTTTGCTTACCTGGTGATAGGAATTTCATGAATAATTACTCCAGATGTTATTTTCTCACCTTTTGTGATTTAGCCTTAAAAATCCATAACATCACTTCCCTTATACTTTGTTGGCTAAAGTGACCCCACAATCTACCTTAATGTCACAGGAAGAGGCAGAGCAATAGCAAAGTCAGAATATGAGCACAAGACTGGACGTTTGACCTTCTTTACTACAATACAGTCAGCTACACTGAGAAATGCAAATCATACAGAAACGTGATCATCAGTAGCCTACCTACTTTATAAGTCATTGTCTGAGAAGTAGTGTGTTAAGAAAGCAAATGCAGGGTTGGAGAGATGGCTCAGAGGTTAAGAATACTCTCTGTTCTTCCAGAGGTCCAGAGTTCAATTCCCAGCAACCACATGGTGGTTCACAAGCATCTATAATGAGATCTTGTGCCCTCTTCCGACCTGCAGGGACACATGCAGGCAGAACACTGTATGCATTATAAATCTTAAAAAAAAAAAAAGAAAGAAAGAAAGAAAGAAAAAAGAAAAGAAAGCAAATGCATTTGCTTTTGTTCAAAATGTGGATGCAATGTAGTATGAAATGTCTTCTCTGAAAAAGAATTATTATGAGCTATTGAAAAAATAATAAAAAATTCTTGAAGTTCTAAATTAAATCTTCAGCATTACCATTTGGATTTCAAATGTCTCCTACAGACTCATTTTCTTGACTACTTTGTTCCCAGCTTGTGATGCTGTTTTGGAAAGTTCTGGAAACGTCAGGACTTTGGTCTAGTTAGAGGTCACTGGGAGTAACCTTTGCAGGTTGTATCTGTTCCACTGTCCCTGCTCCCTCGGAGGCTTTCACCCCTATATTTGGCTCCATGTTTTTTTTTTTTTAATCTATTAAGACCATTTAGAAATTTGTCTGCATCCTCCTGTGTAGTGAAGACTCTCCTCTTCCCTGTGGTCCTATAGCCATGGTATTGTGCCCAAATGAATGCGGCCAGCCAGCTGGAGTTGGCTTTCTGAAACTGAGCCACAGCAGATCTTCCCTCCCTTCCTTAGGTGGTTCCATCCAGTATTTTGTCACAGTGTTGAGAAAAGGAACTAACAGTCTCTGTACATATTATGGGCTATTTATTATTACTGTTATTATTCACAGGATCTTGTGACAGGCTGTGCTTAATTGGTCATTGCTATCTCAACAAGCATGGAGATAAGATTAGAAGTTTTGACATCAACAAGTATCAAGCAGAAAAAACCCTGGCCCAGAGTTTCCTGGTTAGGTCAAGTGAGTTTCTATTTATTTATTTATTTATTTATTTATTTATTTATTTATTTATTTATATAACTAATGGTTTTGCATATGTTAAATGTGTGTTTTTCCTGTAAGATGTAGGAATATTCTGTGGCCTTAACCCTCCTCCCCAGAAAATGCCCCCAAAATAACACATCATATTCAGAAGATCACCCATCCCCTGAAAAGGGGTGTGTGTGTGTGTGTGTGTGTGTGTGTGTATGTATGTATGTATGTATGTGTGTGTGTGTGAATTTATAACGTACAAGTTAGCATTTACAGAAAATTGAGTCATCTGTCTAGGTAAAAGCTTTTGCTTTCAATTTTTTCTTTCATATCATATTTAAAGGGAGTATTGAATTTCCTACACTCGGTGTACCAAAACAGTGGCGTGATTCCTCATATTGTGTCTTTAAAGGATCCTCAGAGCTGGCACAGGAGAGGTGGGCCATAAGGCATTAATAAACCAGGATTCATAATATATGATACAGCATTCACACCTTAGAGTGGGCAAACCTACATAACTCCCCTTTAATTTATAACGATTGTTGACATAAAGACTCAAATTTTCAGTGAGAAATTCTGCCATTAACTTCTCTGTAACAGGAGTTCTCTACTGTATGTTTTGTTTTGTTTTGTTTTCCCCAATATTTTATCTTCTATGTAGCAATGTTTTCCTTTCATGTATGTAAGTACACTGCATGCCTGGCCAGAAGAGGGTGTCATATCCCCTGGAACTGGAATTTCATAGAGTTGTGAGCTGCCACATGGGTGCTGGGAATCGAACCCAGGTCTCCTGGAAGAGTAGTAGCAAGTACTCTTAACCGCTGAGCCCAGCCCAGGAGTTTTCAACTTTTCCCCTCATCAGAATCATCTGGACAGGTGCAATTTATTCAACCATAAGGAAAAAATTTTGAAGGATAATGTGTGGAACTAGACTAGGTCATTCTGTTAAACAAAAGAAGCCTGCCACAGAAGGACAGACGCTGCATGCTTTTTCTCAAACTAAAAAGTCTGCATTTAAAAATAAGTGTGTATAGGATGTGAAAGTAGAAAGGGCCTGTGTGGGAGGAGGAAGGGGTCCAGTGGGAGGTGGACAGGACAGAACCAGGCAATGGGAAGAGGGGAAGACAGATAGGGTGTGTTTATTCATGTTCCAGCTTGACTGTATATGTATGTGTATCCTTGAATAATACAGAAAGGGGAGTTCTTGGAGGTAGGAAAGTGACAAGGGAGGCTAAGGGCCAATATGAGCAAAATGCGTGTGACAAGTATGTTTGAAAATATCAAAATGAAACCCATACATTGTACACTAACTAAAATAATAATAAAAAAACAGATTACTGAGTCCCATAGCACCTCCGGCTCAGTAAGTCTAGGCTGGGCAATTTATACTTTTTGTTTGTTTTCTTTTTTAGGGTTTAGAATGTTTCAAAACATTGCTTATATATTTTATGTATATGAGTGTTTTGCTTGCGTGCATGTCTGCCTGTATGCCAAAAGAGGGCATCAGATTCCATGAAAATTCCATGAGACTACAGTTACAGACAGTTGTGAGCCACCATGTGGGTGCTGCTGATTGAATCAGGATCTCAGGAAGAGCAGCCAGTGCTTTTAAGTACTGAGCCATCTCTCTAGCCTTGGTAATTGGTATTTTTAGCAGGTTCTGAGGTGTCATTGCTACTGCTGGCCCCACAAACTTCATCTAAAATATCTTAATTTTTCTAGACCAAAAAAAAGAAAAGAAAAGAAAAAGAAAAAGAAAAGTGATCCGTCTGAGTCATGAGCTTATGGATTTCCAAAGCCATATTCATTTTAATCTAATCAAACAGTATAAAAACTTGTCCAGCCAGACTGGTAGTGGTGCACGCCTTAGTCCCAGAACTTGGGAGGCAAAGGCAGGCGGATCTCTGAGTTTGAGGCCAGCCTGGTCTACAGAGTGAGTTCCAGGACAGCCAGGGCAACACTGAGAAACCCTGTCTTGAAAAACCCAAACCAAACAAAAAGCTTGTCCATACAGATGCTCACATGCATAGGATTAAATAATTTTGGCTTGCTGAATTGGCCAATGACCCTAGAGTTGTTAGCCTTTAAAGAGCTTTAAATGCAGCCATTAGATCGTCTTACCCTGTAACTTTAACAAGGGGCATTTTATTATTATTTCGTGTTTTCATAGTGCTAGATATAGAATATATAGATATAGAATCAGGACCTCATTACTAGACAAGCATTCTATCCCTGAGCCCAAGTGTTATTTAAAACAGATAAAAAGTGTTTAGGTTATGGGTTTAATGTTTACTTTAGATTTGTGGTATGAATTATTCTTGTTCTTAAATGTTGTTTTGTTTTTCTTTCTAGACAATTTATGTCGACAAGATTAATTAACCTAAGTCCTTCACATGTGTTTTTCTCTTAGGAGAATGAAGCTGTTTTTCTTTTGGATGAGAAATGCATAAATGAGATTAATTTGCTGTCAGGAAGAACAAAGAAGAAAATTCCTAGTCTGCAGCCTTTATTGAAGGATGTCTGTTTTCTGGCAACATCCAGTAATGGTTAAGTACTGCTGATGTGTTCAAAAGGCTCACTTGCTATGATTTTTCAAGAACAAAATGTTGGTGATAGTGTGTTAAAAATTGCATTTCACTTTTGAACAGATGTGTGGCTGTCTGGGGTCCTCACTACAGGAGAGCTTTTCTTGTGGAACAAAGATCAAGATTGTTTGAAAATGATACAAGTGACTGAAAAGCCTAAAGAAGTTATTAAAGCTACAGTGGGTAGGGATGTTTTAAATTTTTTTTGACTGGAAAAAGACTGAAATGTTTTCATATTGCTATTTTGATAATGTATCTCTCTGTGTGTGTGCATATTGTTTCTGTTTATATAATATTTATTCTGGAAATTGGTTGGTACTTTTTTGCACTTCATTTAACTTGAAGGAGAAAACCTGGCATGCCTGTCGTTGCTGTGACAACAGATTCCTAATGTTACAGTAACAGTTTAGGTTTTGTGGTGCCATTGTGTAATCCAAACAGTGCAGGAGACTGAGGCAGGGGGACCAGAAGTATTGCTTGGACTGCAGATTGAGCGGAAGGTCAGCTTGAGCGGCTTAGCGAGACCCTGTCTCAAAATAAAAAGTAAAAAGGATGCCAGGAGTGAGTGTCAGTGTTAGAGCACTTGCCTAGCCTGGACAATACACTTCAATCCCTCTATTAATTATTGTTAATGCTGGGCATGGTGGCCCACACCTTTAATCCCAGCACTCAGGCAAGCATTTGGGGTACCGAAGTAGGAGGATCCCAGTGAGTTCAAAGCCAGCCTGGGCTACAGAATGAGACCTTATTTCATAAAAGCCAAAAAGGAAAAGCAAATTAGGCGCTTTCATGAAAAATTCAGATTTTGGAAGTTTCATTTTTCTGTTTTGTTCTGTGTTAATTAGCAAGCTCTTCAAGACTATACTTGTATGTAGCTGAAAATGGGAAAAGAGTTCTGCTTATTACATCTTCTGGCTGCATACTTCTGTGGGAATATGTGGAATTGAAGAATATCCTATCTTCTAAAAGCCTCCCGTTGGTGGGTCAGTGGTCCCAAATCATACCCGAAGAAGCAGTTTTATTGCCTTCTACTAAAGACAAAGAAGCTGTAGTGGATGCTGTTTTTGTCAAAAATGAGGTAAAATCGAAATGAGACACTGGAGTAGGACTCTTAGGCTTTAAGAACTGTCCCTATCTGAAGGCTATGTAGTCAGGGGTATAATTGCAAACCTGTTTGTCACTGGTCAGAGCAGTTGTGAAACTACTGTTTGGAAACGATGATTTTAAAAATGCTTTCAAATTAAAACCTACTTTCCCTTAGTAGAATATGACTTGTAGTGAGCATGATGGTGAACATGGTAGTACATACCTGCAATCCAAGCACTTGGGAGGCAGCTGTGCGAGGACTAACCAGAGTTCAAGGCCAGCCTGGGTTGCATAATGAGCTCCAGGCTGTCTTGGCTACATAGCAAGGCCCTGTCTTAAACTACCAAGTTAAAATAAAATGTGTGCATGTTCTATAAGTTAAGAACTGATGGCTTTCAATAAGTCATTTGTTCTCAGTATATAACAGAATCATTGTTTAAATAAAAATTTTAAATAGCTTCATATAGCTCTGTGTATGAATTTTCATCCATTACCCAACCCACTTTTGTTAGAAATTGTATTTTGAATTTAGGCTTGGTGGTATATGCCAATTTCAGCACTATGGAAATAGAGGCAAGATGATCAGTTCAGACCAGCCTGACCTCTTTAAAACAAACAAACAAACAAACGAAAAACAAGCCCTTTACTCCCAGAACTTGGGATGCAGAGTCAGGTGGATCTCTGTGTTCAAGGCAAGCCTTGTCTACAAAGTGAGTTCTAGGACAGCCAGGGCTGTTACACAGAGAAACCCTATCTCGAAACTGCCCCCAAAAATGGCATTTTGAAATTGTATTGGTCCCTCCCAGTAAGGTGATACTCTAAATAATATAAAACTACAAAAGAAGAGAATAATTTTACAGGAACCTTCCCAGCAACAGTAAATGGCAGTATATTTTTTTAAAACTAATATTCGAACATATTTATGAGATGGCATATAGTACTTTTATATATTTGTATATTACAGTCGAACTGGAGTAATAATAAATATTTCTATATCCTCAGACATTAAATACATGTTGGGAATTTTATTCTTTTTGAATCACTTTAATAATACTTTTATTATCTTATATATTTTTTCAAAGATTTATTTATTTTATGTATATAAGTGTTCTATCTGCATGTACGACTTTAAGCCAGAAGAGGACATCAGATCCAACTACAGAGGGGTGTGAGCCACCATGTGGGTGCTGGGAGTTGAACTCAGGACTACTGGAAGAGCAGCCAGTGCTCTTAACTGCTGACCCGACTCTCCAGCCCCTTTTGTCTTAGATTATCAGTTATAATATTGGTAATATGGTCAGCAGTTACCCTGCAGTGCTGTAGGAACACCAGTACAAATTCCTCTGCTTTGGTGTCCCTCATTGGACTTGAGTGTAAACAAGATGCTCAAGGCCCTGGGTTTTCTTCCTAGCCCCAAAAGACCTCTTCTATGTCCTTAGGCTGATTTTTCATTTGAGCCTTGTATCTGGCAAAGAAAAAAATTGCTTAGCCTTTAACTTACTATTAAGAATGAAATAGAAGCTGGGTCCCAATATTTTTTATTTATTTGAGACATACTTTCATATATCAGTTTATTTTCAGATTAATTTTATACTAAACTATTAAATTTATCTGCAGTTATTTGGCGACTGCTGCCTGTGTTCTTTTACTTTTTATTCTGGAGAATGCTTGAAGTTAACATTTCTGGCCATTCAGTGGTATGAGAATGTGTTTACATCTGTAAGGTGAGGTAAATATTTCCTTCTCTTATTTTCTCCTTTCAAACAAGCATTGCCATTTTGTCATTGACCAGCATGGATTTAAGATCTTTAGGTCTTTGTTTCAGTTTGTAAAGCTTTGTAGATCTTTCCTTCTACCGTTTAAACAATTACTCTAGAAAGTTTCTCTTGTTTTTATTTCTCTTCCTAGAAGGGAAAACATGTAAGAGATAGCATAGTTTGAGGTATATTTGTCTTGATGCTGTAACAGTAATTACTTTGAAATGAATTGAATTTTAAAGGGGGCAAAAATATTTGAATTTACTGTTGTACCTTCAAAATGCTCAACTGTTTTGTTTTGTGTTTTTGGACAAGGTCTCACTATGTAGCTCTGGCTATCCTGGAACTCTGTGTGATCATGCTAGTCTTGGACTCAAGAGATCCTCTTGTCTCTGTATCCCAAATACTGGAGCCACCAGGCCTATCCTCAAGTGTTTTTTCTTTGTTTGTTGGTTTCTTTAATAGTAAAATAGTTTGTATTCTAAACTCCATAAAATAGAACAAAATATATAAAAGATTATAATATCTAAGTAAGATTTAGGAAAGTAATGTGACTTTATGAATTCTTTATGTTAACAATACTTCATTATTTACATAAAGTAAAATGAATAAATCATAAGTTTATAAGAAGGTTGATAAATATATACACCGATTGAATTATCTCTCAGAACAAATGTAGGAAATTGGCATAACCTAAAGAGTTCTGTTTCCCCTACTTTTTTTCTCAATTTTTTTATTAATGTACATTAATTGCATAAAAAATAAAATTTTCTTTATGACATTTTATTTGATCATATTCATATCCCTATTGTCCTCACTCATTTCCCTCCCTTTATAATTCCAGTAATAAGTTTGCTGTCGTGTAAAAAATGTTTAAATATTTAGTTGAAACATGCATATTTATGCTTGATTAGGGAACATAGCTCTTCTTAGAAAACTCCAATACCGAAGTAGATTTACTGACAGGTACTCAACAGTCACTGATCGTATGTATATGTACATCTATTGAAGTTTAGGTAGACCCTTGTGTTTTTTGTTATTAACTACATATCAACTTCAAACTTACTATATGAACTTGGCATGCTCATGTGTGCCTGTAGTCTTGTTACTTAGGAGGCTCAGGAAGAGGCTCACTTGAGTTCAGGAGTTCAAGGCCAGTGTAAGTCATATATTGAGACCTCGTCTCAAAAGCAGACACACATACATCAGAAATAAATATGTAAATAAAATCATTAAAGCTTGCTGGGCAGTGGTGGCTCACTCCTTTAATCCCAGTACTCAGGAGGCAGAGGCAGGCAGATCTCTGTGAGTTCAAGGCCAGCCTGGTCTAGAGAGCGAGATCCAGGACAGCCAGGGCTCCACAGAGAAACCCTGTGGAATCTTGCTTTCATTAATTTCATTACTTTCTTAGGTCATTGCCGTTCCGTGTTCACTGGGCACAACAGGAATGTTTCCTGTGTCGTCTGACTCCTAAGTGTGAGTCAGTGAAGTCAAGAGGAGCTCTGCTCTCTGCCTTCTCAAGAGATGGCCTTGCCCTGGCAGTGACTCTTAATCAGAAAGACCCAAAGGTCAGTAACGAGCATCTGCCCTTACTACTTTATGCTCTTTAAAGTGATGTTTTCAGCCCATTGTGGTTTGGTACAGTTATGTAAATCAGCTGTCATAATTTTCAAAAGTTGTTCTGAAGAACTGTAAAATTAAAAAGCTTATCTTGGTGGCAAATGCCTGTAATCCCAGCACTCCGCAGACTGGGGCAGGAGGATTTGAGTTCAAGGCCAGCCTGGGCTACATATCAAAAGCCTGTCTCAAACACAAGAAAATGAAGTAAAAAATGAAAGAATAGAAGAAAAGGAGGGTGTCGCAGCTGTTGGCAGGGCGGGGGCAGGAGGATTCCAAGTGTAAGGCTGCTCTGAGCAACTAAAAGGATGGGCTGTCAGGACTGCCTGGCGTAGAAAGACTACTTACTTTGCTAGTATAATAACAGCTCTCTCAGCCTCCAGTAAGTAATACACATGGAAGATAATGCCATATTTTCCCCCTTCTAGGCAACTCAGGTATTATTTATAAACACACTGAATTTCGTTACTCTCTGTGGTGGCCTTAAAGGATGTAGTAATAAGAATCCTGTGGTCCCAGCTACACTTACCAGGTAAGAACACATGTGCTTATTTCTTGGAGGGTTTTTGAAGTTTGAAGCTCTACTGATTCCATAAATATCATTTAGATAAAGAATGTGACTTACCTTTGTACTTGGTAAATTCTAAAAGTTGCTTTATATGAAGAAAGCCTCAAATACTTTTTTTTGGTTTGTTTGTTTTTTTCGAGACAGGGTTTCTCAGTGTAGCTTTGAGCCTTTCCTGGGACTCACTTGGTAGTTCAGGCTGGCCTCGAACTCACAGAGATCCGCCTGGCTCTGCCTCTGGAGTGCTGGGATTAAAGGTGTGCGCCACCACCGCCCGGCTCTCAAATACTTTTAAAGGAAGGATAGAGCATAAAATAAACAAATTATTTTCTTTTTTGTTGTTTTTCCTATCTTCTTAGGAATGGAATTGTGAGCAGTAGAGCAATAGGAGGCGTCGTTAGGGAGGGTAAGATGAAAAGTCAAGGGAAGATCATCATTCATTCAGGAAGGCTGGGGTATTCACAGATTTTTAAACACAACATTCATAGTGGTTTTTGGATAACACATCAGCTATAAGACGAATACAAGTTAGGTGTGATGGCGCACACCTTGAATCCCAGCACTCCAGAGGCAGAGGCAGGGGAACCTCTGGGACTTTGAGTCCAGCCTGGTCTACAAAGCAAGTTCCGGGACAGCCGGGGCTATATATAGAGAGATGCAGTCTCCAAAAAATAAAAGGAAAAGACCTGTACAAGATTGGAGTACAGAGTTTTTCTCTTGAGCGCCTCCTAACCTCTTTGTTTCTGAACATGTCCTGTGCCTTTCTCTGAATTTCCGGAGTGGTCAGGTCATCTAGCTACTTCTCTTCATTCTTTGCCTCCCCACAGTTCCTTTCCTAGAGCAGCACTGGTCTCAGCTCAGTGGTCCCTTTGACAGTGTGCCCCATTAGCAGATGGGAGAGGAGCTGCTTGTTGTTCTGGTGATACATTGATGCTGCCAGGGAGCAGCAGTAGGAAGGAGGAAGGAACAGCTTTGGGAAGGGGCGGTGTGCTGATGAGTGGGACTTCTAACGAGCTGCTGAGTGGATAGGCATGTCTGAGAACCTGTCATCAGCCTTGGTTACAGGCTCCAGAGATTACAGTTCATTCTGATCAAAAGATGAGTGAAGCCGGGTGTAATCCCAGTATTTGGGAGGCAATCAGGCTGATCTCTGTGAATTCAAGGCCCGCCTGGTCTACAAAGCGAGTTCCAGGACAGCAAGGCTGTTATACAGAGAAACCCTGTCTCAGGAAGAAAAGAGAAAAGAAAAGAAAAGGTGACTGACTAATTGGCTCAACTTTGAGGAATATTTTCATTTCTGAATTGCTTATCATTTCTAATTGGAATATTGTTGGGGTAGATGTATGTAAGCCTTTTTTTTTTTTTTCTACAAAGTAAAATTAACAAATTTTATGTGACAACCACCTACTATTCAGTCCTTCTAAAACTGTCATTTGCTCTTTCTAGGTCATACTGGGTAGGAGACATCAGCTGGACACATGGTAGTCTTTTTCTGGCCTGTGTGTTAAAGCGTGGCTCCCTGGTTTTACTGACCTGTCTAGGTGAATTACTGACATTAGTTACACTCGGTTGCTCTATAGAATTTGGGCCAGCTGAATTTATTCCTCTTCATCCACTAATAACATATAGGTGAGACATTTGAATTGTTTTGTTTACATATCTTATTTTCTTTGTGATTAATTTTATTATGTGTTTTTACAGAAACAATTTCATCCCCAAATTTTTTTTTTCCTTTCTGTGAGTCTGTCATGTCAATATCTGTTTCTTATCTGTTCCTAATTATTTATAGTTTTCTTCCTGTTTCTTTTTGTGGCTTATTCCTGGTGAAAATTTGACATTGTGACTATGTAAGTATAAAGTTATTTAAATATTTAATAGTACTGAAAATTTAGCTTTACTATAAAAGATAATAAAACATGACACATTATTTTAAAAGTGTAGCACTGAGATAACTTAGTAACTCAAAATGAACATATTAAAGAACAAAAACTGTTAGTAATAGGCTGAAGAGTTTAGCCATATTTGGATTTTAGTTGTGAAAGAAGGTAACAATTGGATCCTGTAGTCAGACAATTCAGGTTTCAAGTACTAGTTTTCCTATTTCCTAGTTCTGTACATGAATAATTGTTCTTTAAGCCTCGGTTTCTTTCTTGTGAAATGAGCATGACAGTAGTTGTTTTATAGGATTGAGGGAGTGAAGTCAAAAGCTGGTGGCTGTGACTGAGGACATGTTGCTGGGAACCAAACTCTAGTCTTCTGGTAGAGCAGTAAAAGTTCTTAACTGCTGAGTCGTCTCTCCAGCCTTAAGAGCTGTTTTTTTAATAGAAAAACTGGAAGTGACTTTTGAAATTTATCAGTCTATAGAAAGTAAACGACATGGGTACATCCTTGATTATGTTTAGCCAAAAAAAGGATGCTTAATTTTTAGTGACAGATTAATGCTAGGAGAAAACTGTCAATTCCTGCAGTGAAAGTTGTAGGTTTGGTTTCTTTTTTAACCTTTACTTTTTATTTTATGTGCATGGGTATTTTGCCTGCATTATGTCTGAACTTTGTACATTCAGTGCCCAAGGAGGCCAGATGAGGGTGTTAGATCCTTTGGGCCTGGAGTTAAACACAGAATTGTGAACCTCCATGTGGTTGCCGAGGCTGGAACTTGGGTCCTTAATTTGTATTTACTGGAATTTTCTCACATTCTCCTTTAAAGTTACTATTTAAAGGCTTTTCAAATTGATGGCTTTTTTTCTAGTACATATTCATTATTTGAAAAAATAAAATTTTAAAATCACGACACATTATTAAATAGTATAAATATGATTCTCACAATCCTTATACTCAGAGATAAAAATTAACATCTTAGGGTATTGTTTTCTAAATATTAAACATACTCATATTGCATTTATAATAATAGTAATATGTTATTTACTTTCAACATATGATAAATTACATGAAATGTATTGTTTATTTTTAGCCTTATTTTGTTAATTTTAATTTTATTTTAATGTTTTGTGTATGTGTGTGTGTGTATGTTTATGCTATGTATGTGGGCACAGGAATGCCACAGTGTACATGTGGAAGCCATTCTCTCCTTCCACCTTAACATGTCAGGCTTGTGTGGCAAGTGCTTTTGCTCACTGAGTTCAGTGGACAACCTTCATCTGGCCTCCATGGGCATTGCATGCACTGACATTCATACAGGCAAAACACCATACACATAAAATAAAAAATAAAAAGAGTAAAAGAAAATACTTTCACTGCAGGAAATGCCAGTTTTCTCCTAGCATTAACCTGTCACTAAAAGTTAGGCATTGTTAGTTTGCTGACATAATCAAGACCATCCCAGCCATTTCAGTATCCTTTAGACATCACTGTTTTAATGCTTCCTTACATTTCTCTAATGAATCTATTCAAGTGGGACATTTCACTAATGAAAACAATCCGTATTTGAGATCTTAGGCATCCTAACTTGTTTTTGTACAGCACTAGAGCTCAAACTCAGGGCCTTGCACACAGTAGGCAAGGGCTTTATCACTAGGTCTCCCAACCTGTATTTTCATAGTTCTCTAGTCTAAAAAATTACCATATATTAATATCTCCTTTTATATTTATAAAACATTAAATGTAATAAGCAACTATATTACATAATCAGTCCATTATAGAATTATAACAGACACATATATTTATGTGAGAGACTCATCTAATTTTAAACTCATAAAATGTCACATACCAGTATATTCTCCAAATGTCCTATTTCTTTCTTTATTTCCTCCTTAATAACAATTGTACTAATTGTAATTCTTGTAATTCTGTTCCTATATTTACATATTTTAGAAAGAAAGCCAGCTACTTAACCCTTTAATAAAAATAGTAAGATGCCATAATTCTTAAATAGGTTGCATATAGTTAAAAAAAAAACAAGAGCTAATTGGCACAAAATTCAGGAAAACATTTGGAAACATGTAAAGACATGTATTTTGGTCACTGTTATATTTCCTAGAACTCAAATATACAAATTTAATATTTTCATGTGTTTCATCTGCTTGCTGTCTCATTGTTTTATGGGATTTCTTTACCTTTTATTTTGAATAATATGATTGCTTCCTTTAAGATCCTTCTCTTGCTGATTCTTGGCTTTTCGTGTTTGTTTGCTAGACCACAGCAGTTTACATTTCAAGATCAAAATAATTCTGTAGATTCATCAGCTTCTGACAGTGACCCTCTGAGACAGAGGTTTTCTATAAAAGCACACTCACGGCTACCTTACCTTATTATTTCTGATGGATATATGGTTACAACCCTTCGGTTTCTTGATAACCAGTCTCCAACAGCGCTCATGAGGTCGTTGCTACTTGATTCAACCCAGAGGCTTGAGAAAGCATACCAAAGTATGATGCTATCTAAGGTACAGTGCCTTTTGGTATCTGTGGTAAAAAGTGCCTTCCTGTTCCTTTCAAAATTAAAACTATATCGACAGTAATAGTAGTCTTTTTGACACTGGAAGTTTTAATCACCTTAGAATTACAGATAAATTCTTGCGCTTGGAAATCATCTGTCTTTTTTTTCTATAGCCAAAGGACAAAGGGTTGAACTTGAGATCACTGGATTCCTTACGGTCTAGCCTGTTAAAGCGTCAAGGAAAGGAGGGGTCAGAACATGGCACTGTCCCCAGATTTCTGCAGGTAGAAGAAACAGTGAAGTTAAATGAAACTACAGATTTCCAGGTACTTACTACATACTGACTTTAGTCTAAGAAATTCATTGATTTTTGTTGTTGTTGTTGTTGTTGTTGAAGGAAATAGAACTTTGAGAACAACACAGCGATCCTATGCATAAGGCTTCAATGGTATTAAATATAATTTCCCCCCTTGTATTTAGGATTTTGAAGGAGACGAAGCTAATGAACAATTTCCAAACAACTCACTTCCTTTTTGTAACCAAAGAAAAGATCTACTGTTTGGCACTGTCAGGGAAGGAAGATTAGAATTTGCATCGATGTTTGATACAGTTCATGCAGAGGATGATTCCAGGGAGACAGACAGAACCACCGCAGAACTGCACTGTCTCCAGAAAAGACTTCTTGCAGCTTGGACTATAGGAATTTCAAAAAATGTAACAGAAAAAAACTTAATGTTAAATTACACAGTACTTTGCATCACTCACTTTTTCTATATTCTTCAGTTTACAAAATGTCCTTTGCCTAAGTATGACCTGTGTTTAAATAAGAGTCTGAAGCATAATGCGTGGGTACTTTGTATCTTTCAACTTTTCCATCAGTGTTTATCAGTCCACTATTGGGATATGAGATACGGACAAGATATGGGCCATTTGATAAAGCTGACCTCAAATACCGTGAAGCTTTTACTGACTCAGCAACAAAAAAGTGGATTCTTCTCAGAGATGCTGTTGGCCTGCCTTTCTCTACTCCGAATGGTCGCTGACTGTTTAAATGGCATCTGCAGTCTTCAGCCCGAGACTGTTTGGGCATCAGCTGATGAAAGCAGAACAGCTGAGCTGGACTCATTGATGGTACCTATTTTTCAAGCTGCTAAGGAAAGTTGGTCCTGGGACTCATCTTTAAATATTTATCCTCAAGTTACAAATCTTGTTCAAAAGCCAAGTCACAGGTATGAATACTAATTTTTATTATTAAAACACCACTGAATTTCTTATGCTGTAGTAAGAAGTGTATAATTTGGTAGTTTTTAGTATATTTATAAGGTTTTAAACTGTTAGTACTAATCCCAAAATAGTTTTTCATTCCACAAGGAAACTTTGTAACCATTGGATCCCAGCATTAAAATATGTTACTTTAAAAATACTCAAGTACCTGTTTCAGAATATCAGATTATTCCTGGTGCATCTATATGATTTTTAAACATTTATTTTTTTTTTGTTTTAATTATGTGTATGTATGTGTGTGTGTGTTTTTCTTTCTTTCTTTTTTTGGTTTTTCGAGACAGGATTTCTCTGTGTAGCTTTGGAGCCTGTCTTGGAATTCTCTCTGTAGACCAGGCTGGCCTTGAAACAGATCCACCTGGCTCTGCCTCCTGAGTGCTGGGATTAAAGGCGTGAGCCACCACTGCCGGGCTATGTGTGTGTGTATGTGGGTGCCCATGTAAGCCAGAAGAGGGCATTGGATCCTCTGGAGCTGAAGTTACATGCAGTTGTGAGCTGCCCGGTGTGGGTGCTGAGACGTAAACTTAGGTTCTCTGGAAGAGCAACAAGTGCTCTTAACTCCCGAGGCATCTCTCTATAAATTTTGTCAATCAAAAAATTGTTTCAGTTTTTTTCCACAAAGATTAAAAAGCACACACCTTTTTTTTTTTTTTTTTTTTTTTTTTTTGTCTTGGGCAGCCATGATGATCTTGAAAGTATACAATATAAGTTAAGTATGTAATGAAAAATGTATACAGGTTCATAAAACATTTGTAAAAATCTTGTGGTCCATGCCGGGCGGTGGTGGC